TGTTTTTCATAAAAACTATAGTTAAAAAGTTTCAAAATAAGGTTTCTAATTTCATATATAAAATTACTGTAAATTTGCTATGATTTTCTGCAATTTTTTTTAAAAAATAGTCTGAAATAAAATTATCAAACACACATATATATAAAAGTGTTGTACGACTATACAAAAAAGCTTCCAACTGCAATTCCAAACGCACCCTTAGTCTTTAATTTTAGAGTTTTGTATAGTTTTTGTTTATTAAATTATATTTTTTTATCACTTAACTATAAAAATTGTAATTTTTTTAATCTTTTTATTAATTAGTCCATTAAATTTATTTAAATATATATAATTTTAATTCTTAAATTTTTAAGTAAAGGGATAAAAAAATATATGTATTATAAGTTAAAAGATTAAAAATATACATATTTAAATAGATTTAATGGACTAACTAATAAAATTACTAAAAAATATATTTTTTATAATTAAGGAATAAAAAAATACATAAAAAATTAAAAAATAAAAACTATGAAAAACTCTAAAGTTAAAGAACTAAAATTAGTATTTAATTTATATAAAAATGAGAGATATTAAATTCTAAACTTATTATTATGATTAAAAATATAAATAATTTTACAATTAAATCATATGATTGATCAAATGATTAAAAGTATATATAATTTTACTATTAAATGATTAGACATATTCCTTCTATTAGGAGAAATGACCCAATGCTTGTGAACTAAACCCACACATGTTATGTTAAGCTCACTTGAAACAATTTATCTACAACCCTTTAAAACAAAGTGGAGAGCAAATGAGTGGAGCCCACTGGCAAAGTGGGAAAGAAAGGACGAGAGAGTTCTATATATAGATTTGGTACTATGGTCAATTTTGTAACTTTGTATAATCCGCAAAAAGAATTATTATTGAATTGAGTTGAAAATTTTTTCAACTGTTAATGAGATATTGATTTATATTCTAATGAATCAATTTTTTATTTAGAATTTTGTAAGTTTTACTTTTGTATCTAAAATAATAACTCATTTTTAGTAATTGTTTCTCTTTATGGTTTCATTTTCTTTGTTAGTTTATGTTTGTTATTTATCTTGTTTAGCATTATTTTTGTGTTTTTTTAAAAGATGATATTATGTACTCTCTTTAATTATAGTCAGGTTTTTTTAATAGACTAGACATCCCATGACTTTTACTCATTTTTAGAACTTTTTCACATAAAAATATTGTCTCTTATGATGATTATTTTACCTTAGTCATATCTACTGTTTTACATATTTTAGTTACTGTCATTATTATACTTAGACTTGATTTAACTTGCTCTTAATAGTTTCAAATAGATTCGGAAATATTTTGGTGTTGTTTTTGTTTCTACTATACTTAGGTGGCAACCGTTTTGCCCAACAAGCTGGCCGGGTAGTGATAGTTGAAGGTTAGAAATGAGATGCAATGGACCATCATGAGTAGTGGTTTAAAGAGAACGCTTCTATCTTCTTCTTCGTTGTTGGTACGTAAACAATTAATGAGTTCTTTCGAGCACAAATTCATGTCTTGCAGGTGGCAACTGGTTGAATTCACAAGGGTTTTATAAAGGCCATGTGATCGAATCAAATCTACATTCTCCATGAGGAGAGATATTTGTTCAGTCTATAAAAATTTTAAAATTGTAAATTTGACTCTTATAATTATTTGAATTATTAACTTTTAACTTTTAAATTAAAATTTTATAATTAGTGACACGAACTACACTAAGCTGTTGTTGGTTTCATCGATTAATTGTTATGTAGTTCATTGAATGCAAATTTGGTGTAATATACGTTACTCCTAAATCCACGATCTAAACCCAAAGACATCATATATGCAAACTGTTACTTGCAAAAGCAAATCTTTCATTCAACAAATCCATTTGTGCATTAATTAATTCACATCTTATAGTTAAATAACCAATATGTTTTGCTTTTTACTAACTCCTTAATATTCAAAAGCCATATTGAACTTAATTAATCTTGAGTCAAATCATGTTAAATCATATAAAGTGAAAATTCCCTTAATACCTATTTTTCTGTTTACAAAATTTGAATTCGAGACTCAAATATAAAAAATTAATTTTTTTTCACTTAGATCAATAAATTATCAGTAAATAATCAATATGTTTTAATTAAAATTAAACATGTTCAGCCATTCTACAAATCCATTTGTTCATGTTCACATTTTATAGTTAAACGATCAATATGTTTTAACTAAGATTAAACTGTGTTTTGCTATTGCTATTGAAACCCTGACCCACTCATACTATTTATTGACTTGATTGAGGATTAATTTAATACAAATAACAACGGGTATTTTAATAAATTAAGAGATTAAACTTTAATTAACAATTATAAATTAACTTGTCTATATATAACTCCATCTGAATTTCATTACTAAATTGATGGTTCAATTCAGATAACCATGGTTTTTTAATCTTATTAAGAAATTAAATTTTAATCAACACATGCAAACTAAATTAACCTAAAAGTAATTAATCATTTAATCTAAAGGATGGAGTCTTCTCAACTAGAATTACAACTTTTTATCCACGTCTTTGTTGATGACGGATCCTCAATTTCTCCAACTTTTAGTTATAATTAATAATTTCATTGACCATTTGCTTAAGGTAGAAAAGTTCTAATAAAATTCCTTTGGGTCTCTATCATTTTCGCTATTTAGTCATGTAGATTATGTCTTACTCTACTGTCCACACCTTAATTTGACTCTTATTAATTTGCTACCATTTTCTTTTGTCTTATTTCATCGCCCAAAAACGTATCATAAACTTGAAATTTCTCTTCCAAAATCTTCAAATTACATCTTCTTTTTCTTGTGACTAAAGATTAGAGTATCTGCCCTGATGCCCTTAGGGGTACCACTTAATCTAGCCATCGGTCAAAAAAGAAGGCACTGATTTCAATCCTTTACAAGTTATCAACTCACAGTACGTATTTCTGATTCTGTCTCTTTTTACCTATTTTCAAAAAGGTTATGGAGATTCTGTCTCTTTTTACCGACCAAACATGATTGGTTTAGTTGGTACCGCCTTTTCTTTTTCTCGGTGCAAATAATTCTGCCCTTTCAAGTAGGACAGAAGTTAAGTTTGAAAAGCAAATACCCAAGTTTCTCATCGCAAGTGCATGGAAACTTCCTATATTTTATGGTCAATGAAGAAATAGTTACACACTTTTTAAATACTTTTAACAGTTTATTTTTATTTTTTTGAACATAGAAAATTAAAGAAAGGGAATTATAAGTAAAAATAGTATGATTTAAATCTCATATTATAAAGTGAGATAAATTTTTACAATATATTAAATACTCACTTAAATCATTAGAATTTCCCGACTTTAATAATTTATTTAGTTTAAGGGATTAGGAAAAAGATAAAGGGATCAGAGGAGACATTTTCTTATTTGAATAATAATAAAATTTTTAAAATTAATAACAGTGATTGTTACACATTTTATTTCAATACATTGCATGATATATTTATTAAAAAATTATTATTTTTTAATCTAAAATTAAAGATAAATAAATTTAATGATATAATCATACATATAAAATATAAGAATCGAATTTAATTGATTGTATTTATATTATATTTTTAATTATTAAATTAAAAATATCAAAAAATATGTTAAACCGAATATGAACCAATCATTTTCCTAAAATTAATTTTATTACATCAGCTTCATGTCCTGCAAGATCATCATGAGCCACAGGCAAACTATATATAATGAACATTTAATTTTAGAAAGAATAGTGTGTGAAAGGAGTGCAAAATTCCACTATGTCATGCATCATCGATGACAAAATTAAGCAATATTACTAGGAATAAAGTTTATCTTAATTAATAAAGTCTATATATATATATAGTAGCAGACCAATACATTCTTCTACTTTCTACCCAAACGTCTTGGAAGCTAATTAAAATGCAGCTTTTCTCTAAGCCACTTTCCCAAACAGACGTTGAAGTTAGGTTTTCAGTTCCCATGGAAAGTTTAGAAGCATTTGGAATTCCCGAAGACGAATACAAGATAAATTTCGAAGCGATGGATATTAACGGGAAGCCGTGGCAGTTCCGTCTCTCCAAAAGGAAGGGAGATAACCACCCGAAACCGGTGTTTTCTGCCGGATGGCTTGCTTTCGCGCAGCAAAAGCGTCTTCGAAAGAATGATAAGCTCGTTCTCTATGCTGACGATCTTAAGGGCAACAAAAAGCAGTACCGTATACAGGCGTTAAGGACAGCATTCAGGCTTTTGGGACAGGACATTTGGGTCGATGTCGAGAAGTTTGAGAAAGATGATAATGATGTTATCGGAGTAACATCCGCGAAGTTTCTTCTACTCGATTAATTAATAATATTGTTGTAAACATAAACTATATGTATTTCTCTAACTGTACAATCCAACAAAAATCCAAGTTGCATTTTGGATTTTATATATATTCTAAAATTTAAATTAAAAACCTCTAATTTAATATAAAAATTGAGACTTGTTTTATAAAATATTATTTATTTTGACCTATAAAATTTATGATATTATTTTTCTAAAAAAAAAAAAAGATTGATTCTTACTTATAAATCACAAATTTGTTTGATCTATTTTTCATATGAGATTTTAAGGTCACTCTACCGTTATTTACGCTATTAACTCCTTGAGAGTTAAGAGTTGTGGCGTGATGATTTGTAGGAGTGTATCGGTAGATTCACATATACGGTGCCAATTTGACGAGAAAGTCGGCTATATCCCGGGATACCGCTGATGTGATACTTCAATCAATTACAGCATGTCATGTCATCAAAGAATTTTTATTTTATTAATCATGTCAATTCACTTAACAGTAAAAATAATAACGTAATATGTTGTAATTGACTGAAAATACCACGGCAGCGGTATCCCGGGATATAGCAGAATTTTTCCCAATTTGACATGACAAGGTAATGTGGACAAAAGTCACAAAACGTTAAGGACCACAGATCAAGTTTGCGGTACAAGACAATAGTTGCAGAAATCTGCCAAAATATCAAAAGGACTCTTAACTCTCAAGCAATTACGCTAACAGCCAAAGCACATCAGAAGAACAAAGCTAGTGAAACAGCAAAAAGCAAACGTATTGTGTGGACCACCGGGGTTCAATCCAGATTTAGATAGAAGTAGGGTTAATGCCATTGATCGTTCCTCTACCATAAAAAATAATGCAATTTAAAATTTTTACTATCGATTGTCTTCATATCCTCTCTATACTATTAATTAATTTCACCTATCATCTCTCTACTATCCAAAAACATGTCAATTTCATCCTTCCGTCAAATGTAAGCTAACGATACTGTTTATTGACCGTTAAGTGCAACGGTCACACCAGTTAGTTTTCAAGAGAGGCTCCAAGGCTTTCACTCGATAGCAAAGCCATTGTTGATGCCAAGGGAAGCCTCAAACCGTGAGAGATTCGGACGAATGCTGTGATTTTATGGGCCAATCGAGAGAATAGTCTGGACGGAGTCGATGATGGCGACAAGCAACGACGGTCCCCTGGCATAACTGCGAGGTTGATGCGGTGATTCAACTCGCTCCTGCTCGACCAGACCTAACTCAACTCAGTCCAAGTCAACTCAGCACTGGGCAGCCCCAAGCCAAGAATGCCTCCATTTCCCTCGCTGATGCATGACTGGTTGCTCTGACTCTAACAGTTTGGACTCAATGCAAACCAGCAGACAGGGCTTGACAGAGAAGAGGAACAATCGAATGCGAGAAGGATCAGGCAAGGCGGAAAGGCGTTCAAGTTCCTCTAGCATGATTTGGAGATCATCCTCGTTAGCGATAGAGATAAGGGCATCAAGGTCGTGATGAGGAAGTTGATACTTAACCATAAACGGCATGTTGATGTGAAAGGTGGAGGTAAGATGAGCAGTGAGGGAGGAGACGGGCATAGCAATGAAGGACGGAAAGGAAACAATGTGGGTTTCGCCTCCTACGTAGCAGAGGAACTTGGAATGTGGTCGTGGAATTATGTGGCTGGCGTAGCTGCGCATGAAGCGCAGCTTAGCGCTGGGGGAGGTGAGCGGTGGATCCATGGATGGAGGCGGTAATCGAGATATGAAACGGTGCAATGCTTTTTTTTTTTTTTTTTGGCCGTTTCTTGGTTTTGGTTGGGTCATGGAGTTGCATAAGGCTATAAGGCCACTTTCAACAATTAGTAAACAATTTTAGTACTGAAGAACATTATTCCATTCAATTCTCTGCAACACAACAAGAAGATTTGGAAATTTTCGAAGAAGAATTTCACCTCACTGAAGGTTGGCGGAGACGCTTCTTGACACAAAGATTTAAGCACAGGTTTTACTTTTTCCCACCTTAGGGGAACTGAGAAAATTCAAAGAATTCTCAATTATTAGAACACTTCATATTTCAAATTTAGAAATCAATTTGTCGATTAAAAAAAAAAAATCAATCATTTCTCTTTTCGCAGACTTTTTGAGCAACCAAACAGAAAATCAAATAGAAGAACTTCAAAAAAAGAATTAAAAAAAGGCCTAATTGGTGTGAATGTTGCATTTAACGATTAATAAACAGTGCTGTTAGTTTACATTGGACGAGGGACGATATTAGCATGTTTTTGGATGGTAGAGGAAGGATAGTTGAAGTTAATTAATAGTAGAGGGAGGATAAGAAGCCAAATTGAGAGTAGAAGGTTTAAATTGCACTATTTTTGACAGTGGAGGGATGATAGATGACATTAGTCCGATAGAAGTATGAGGCAGGTTGTCTGATTTCTTGCAGCTAGCAGCTAGCAGCTAGCTTGCTGACGGCATTAAAGTCACATGATCATGACAAGACAACTGACACAATGACAGAAAAAGAACTGCACTACGAAACACGCTTGTTCACCAATGTTGTGCAATATATATAATGGACCAATTTCTGTTTGAATGATCCATTCTAACAGTTCAACCAATCCAGCCCAGGTTATAGAATTTTGCTTTGCTGCCTCCTCTTCTCAAAGCCAGTGTGAGTTTACTACCAAAACTGATGATGCATGGATTCAGTGTTGAGATGCAGAGTTCCATCACCGATGAGGAAGGCCTTGATTCATCTTGTTGAGGATGTTTTCGAAAAGGATGAATTGAAGAAGTTCCTGAAAATTCTCTCTAAAAAGGATGCCACTGCCCGGATGAGTTCGCTGAAGTCGCTGTTTTTTGAAGTGATGATATCCGTGTTATGTGAACATGCGATTTTCTACTTGTTTGAATATGCAATTCCTCTGTTTTTGGGTCCGCTTCGGGACACCTTTGTGATTCGCCGGGCGTTGGTGCATGTAGTGAAATACTGCTTTAACATTTGGGTTGGAGGTGGAGAGGAGTAGTGAGAATTTATGTACAATATTTCTAGTCAAAATAACTAAAATGTAGGCTTTTTATATATATGTGAGTCAATATAACAGTGTACTTATGATAAAATCTAACGTTTATATATGACAGCTTGTAAATTATATTACATCTTTTATGGCGTTATATATTCATAGGTAGAAAAATATATTTTTTAATCTAAATTGTAGGGTGTTATATACTTTTAGACTATAAAAGTATTGATATATTATAATCCAATTTTTCTCAATGTTCCATCATTTAAGTATACAAGAGTATTTTCTTATGAAAATATCTATAATCTAAAATGTTTTGTAATTTAAAAATGGATAAATATTTTTTTTATGAGAATATCCGTAATCCAAGCCGCACTTTTTTCTTTTTTCCTTTTTTTTGTTCGGGATATTAACTTAAAAAATTGGGCTTACTTTTTCTTAAGGATTTTCTTCCTCTAATAAAATTTTTGTCACAATATGTTACAGATGTGGGGAAGGGATTGAACCAATGTCATGGACCTAGTGATGTACCCAAAAACCACTTGGGCTTACAGCCCAAATGTCATAATGGGTCAAGAATCAAGATCCATTGGAGACTGTAATTTTCCTACCAAACTTCAGTGCCTCTTCCAGTCTTTCCTACGGTTTGTTATGGCATATGCTCAAGAAGCTGCCTTCAAAATTCTCTGTTTTTAGGTTGTGGACTCCTTCAAAACATTTTCTTTTTGGCCAACAATTCCCCATAGACTTTGATTTTGATGACTTCTTACATCTTGCAAAATTTGTCCCTTGTAAGCAAAGCTTCTATGTAATTACCGCTAAATTGGTTTTAAATTGTATGACTTTTAACATATACTGTATCATAGAGCTCAAAAGTTGTTTCTTGTTAAGCTGGTTGTTTATTATTTAATTACTTGGCAACATCTAGAAATCTTCCATCAAATTGTCTGAGTATTACTGACTAACAACACTAGAAGGTATTGCATATAGATCATTAACTAATAGTTTCCATATCATTCCATGTTAACTTCTACGACAATATTCTTAACACGTATAAGTTACTACTTTCTTTTGACCTATACAATTTTCCACATTTAATGTGTTCAAGCCCAATCTGTTCAGTACACATGACCAATTCATGGATGACCAGGTCTTTGTTAACTTCTTGGGTTGTAAGTATCCAAACATATTGTTTAATCATGTAAAATACTTAAGATACAATTTTATGTTAAAATTAAATCTTATAACCTTACATGATTATAATTGTGTTCAATTCTTTTTACTCAACAATACGAATTTGTATATATGCAATTACTCCTCAATCACATGTGATTATGATAAAATTTTATTATAAAATAAGATTGTGTTGGTATTTGTTTTAAAAAAAATATACGCACATGAAGATTAATACAACATAATGCAAACAGTATAAGTCACTATTGACTAACACACTCTAGAAGGTATTCCATACAGATCATTAACTAATAGTTTCCATATCATTCCATGTTAACTTCTAGGACAATATTTTAACACGTATAAGTTACTACTTTCTTTTGACCTATACAATTTTCCACATATAATGTGTTCAAGCCCAATCTGATCAGTGCACATGACCAATTCATGGATGACCAAGTCTTTGTTAACTTCTTGGGTTGTAAGTATCTAAACATATTGTTTAATCATGTAAAATACTTCATATACAATCTTATGCTATAATTAAATCTCATAATCTTACATGATTATAATTGTGTTTAATTCTTTTTACTCAACAATATGAATTTGTATATATGCAATTACTCTTTAATCATATATGATTATTATAAAATAAAATTATATCCGTATCTGTTTTAAAAAAATATATGCACATGAAGATTAATACAATATAATTCAAACCGCGTCAAGTGTTGTTTCCATACATGAGGCAAAAATCAAGATGCAATTCCGAATCTTACAAAACAAAGTTAACAATGTAATTGACACTCTGTTGTCTTCTAATTCGGACCATCATAGAAATTTCTTTGACCATTCTCTAATTATGTAGTTATTGAACTTTAATTTGTATTCTTTATTTTGTTACTGACTTACCTTGTATACCACGTACGCGTCAACTAAACTGATATAAATACATGAACCACATTCAAAGTTTTGCCACACATCCCAACGAAATCCGACAGCCTTAACAACCAAAAACAACATCAATCAATTTGCAACATTTTAGGACATGGCAATGTTTTCAAAGTTACTAACTGAAGCTGATGTCGTGAAGAGCTTGTTGATCCCATCTTGTTCCGTGGACGTACAGGAAGAAGGGAATTTGTACATGCAGGCTCTTGACAAGAACGGAAAGACCTGGAGTTTCACCTGCTCCGTTCACCGAGATGAGACCGCCGGAGCTGTTCTTTCCGTTTGTTGGGATGAATTTGTTCGAGAGAAAAATGTTAGAGCCAATGACAAGGTCGTTCTTAAGGAGAATTCAACGGCCGGAGGGACCATTTTCATGGTTGATGTCCAGAGAAAAATCAGATTGTTTGGTGAAGATATTTGGGCTGATATCTGAAGTACTTATATTGAATACAGAATCTTCAAAATATCACCTGATTGCAAATTCTTTTGTTCCAAAAAAAGGTGGGTGTGTGAATTGTGATAATTTGTTTTGTTAATTCCCTGACGTATAATTGGGAGTGTCAACATCGAATAATTGTTATCTCTGTAAGAAAATTGTTGTAAAAGGAAAATTCATTTCTCCAGCTTGGTTTAATAGGTTGATGACATTAAATGGAATATTGCTACCGATGAGATTGAACAGGGCTGGTAATGTTTCCCCAATAAGAATCCAAGTTCTATTTTATGGGGATGCCAATGTTTGTTGGGAAGCAGAGGAGGCTTTACAACAAGTTGAGGAGCAAGAAAAAGTGCTGTGAATAAATAAAAAGGAAAAAACAAAAAAGGGGCTAATGTGGATGGATGCGAATGATAACTTTAATTTTGATTTGATTTATATAATATATTTGAGTTAAATTGATAAGAGGGGATAGATAAGTTTTTTAATTAATTAAATTATAATATTTTTAAATATTACAATTGATTAATCAAAAAATTCATCTCTCCTCTTCCTTTCCTTTCACTTAAATAAATCAACCATACTAGTAAGGTATAAATTCTAGAAAATCGTTTTTAATTTTTTTATTTAATTAATCTAACTATCTATTAAAACAAAAAAAAGGTGGACATGAAACTCCCAAAACCATTTTTTTTTTTAAAAAAAGAAAGGGTTAAGGTTTTTAATTTATATATACATCATGTTTGCCATAAGTAACGTTGACTGACTCATTTTGCAATCAATTTGAAAGTCCAAACAATTTGGGAAGAGGAGTAATTTGCATTCATTTATCACTTGGCTAGGCTCAGGTCTAATCATTCAACTCACTCTAACAAAAGCTTTTAACGATCGACAGCATATCAGGTGGCCGTCTTAGCTCAGCCGGTAGAGCGCGTGGCTTTTAACCACGTGGTCGTGGGTTCGATTCCCACAGACGGCGTG